TGTATGCATTTGCGTTACTTTGTTCTCTTGATTTCTTTGGCAATAATTCTAATGAAGCATTATTCACTGCCTCAACCAGCTCTGGACGAGTTCCCAGGAATGGAAATGGTCATCATCACTTATCATTAAAGCTCGATTTATAGCAACAAAAATTGAAGAAAAAGGCGCCTATATAGGCATAGATTTTTATTAAAAAAGGCAGGAATATTAACATTTAGGTCAAAATATAGGCAAAATAGGAATATAACATATTATTTATTGTACAAAGGTAAATTAACGTAATATTAACTTAAGGCAAGTATAAATTACACATCATAATCAAACATTAGTAAAAATAAACTAGTAACTAAAAAACTTTAATTAATATTAAAACATGTAACCAACGATTAAAAATTTTATCATTAATAGAAACAACTAAATTTATTTTTTTTCAATATTTTCTGGTCTTAAAACTATGTCTTCGATCACTTAATATTAATTTGTACAATGAAAACGAACGTTCGACATCGACGATTAATTGGAGAGCATATTACCAGAGTCGGATAAGAAATCTGCATAATTTGAAAGATTCTCGTGAAAATGTCCCATTCAAATATTTAGCAAAATAGATAAAAACGAAAACCTCATTCTTGTCGAAAACATATTCATTTTTTTAAAAATTAATTTGACCGTTACTTCCAGGTGCCGATTTAAGTTCGGCTTTAAATTATCTATTAAATTTTACTGACTCACATAAATTTATCTCTTTTTTTCTAAATAATGTAATTGTGGGTAACTAATAATTTTATAATTGTCATTGATAATAACCGAGTTCCTGTTCAATTTTGGATTTTTTTAATTATTTTTTGCTTCTCGAATGGCCTTCGGGAAATATCAATCATCAAATTCTGACATATACTAATTCTATTTCATTGCAGTGTTCAAAGTAAAAAAAGACTGCATCGAGCCAGGTTCCCCACCTTTTAATTACTGGTTTAGGTGGCAAAGGGACACCGGAGAAGTCTTCTTTATATAATTGCACCCACAACGGAGCTTTACAAACTTATTTTCATAAACTTTATAAAATTATTTACAATGGAAACAGATTTCTTATTCTACAGCAATTCATTTACCCCGTGGGCTACACAAGTGCAATGAATTAAATTAGATAAAAAATTTTAAATTAACAGCAGCTTTTTAACATATATGCCGCAGCATCTGAAAGCATTAAAACTATTTTATTCACTGGTATAGCGTTGGGTAAAAAGAGGTTTGTTAAACTATCTTGTATAAATCGACTTATTGTTAAAATTGTTTGTTTTTTCCAATTCTTTAACGCAACTAAATAAGGTTTTCTCGCAAAGTTTTCGTTCAAAATTCCAATCATTAAATTAGCTATATACCTGCCGCATACATCTGTCGTTTCATTCCACGATAATATACAAAAAATTGCCCTCCAACTCGTGCTTAATTTTTGAAATACATTCCACATAACATTTTTCCACAGTATGTTTTCTCAATGTACTCTCGTCCGGTAAGGATTTATTAAGATATTTTTTCAAAAAAAGCGTTTAAAACTAGGGTTATTAACTTTATATAGAGGAATGTTGGATGCAATCATCATCTGGCATAAATCAAATTTAAATGCGTCTTCCTCCTTTTTTTTTGAAACTGCTTAAACTATCCCGCAGAGATGTTTGGGCTAACTTAGAGGAATTTAATTTTTCCAAATTACGTTTATGAAGTGGGGTTCCACAATGCTGGTCAATAAAGTACTTTTTTCTACTTGAAATCTGAGAATTAAAAAAAAATAATTAGAATTCTAAAACCGCTTTAGAATTTAGTTATGTTGTGGGACGAGAAAAAAAAGAAAAAAAAATAAAACTTACCGATTTGCCGCATGGTTTACAAAATGCTCCATCTCCTTCTAGAGAAAGTTCCGAATAAGGTGCGATCCATAGCCTTAATTTAGATGTCATCTTTTCACACAACTGTCTTGAACGTTTTAAAACGTGTTCTTTGCTTTTCGGTATACGCAACAAACTAAACTAGGATATAGCAATTTGCTAATTTGTGAGTAAACTCTGATACAGTAACCGACTGTACAACTGATAATAAACTAATAAAGCTTAGGGATTTCCAAATAGTTAACCCTCAAGTCTCGATCAGGTACATTTTCCTAGAAATCTATTATATAAACAAACCATTGATATTTTATTATTGACCCAAAATTTTATTATAGAATGGTTTATGTAATAGAATAATATCATGGGTAGTACCATGAAATTTTAAAAAAGGCACAAATAGGCGGAATTTACGAAAAAAGGCAAAAAGTTGCAAAAAACACTTAAATAATAGGCAAAAATAGGCAAAAAAAAAGGCATTTTGCCTATAATCCGAGCTTTACTTATCATCTTTACTTTCGAGAACACCAGCAATTAATTTTATAAGCGTCAAGTTTGACTATTCAACCTCAATAACGTTTCCATAGTAACCCAAGATAAGTTTTATTAGGAATTTCACAAGCACCATTTATTTGGGAATAAAATTATCGCGTTTTTTTTAAATCAATCAATATCTGTCGTAATTTTAAACGATTTGCGGAAAAAATAGTATGTTTACCTCGTAGGAAAAGCCACATTCCTGGACTCTGTGTTGCTAAGTCTCGATTTCGCTTCGACTTAGCAATCTTCACAGTCGTCCAGGAATGTTAAGCTTTTCCTACCCGGTAAACAATGTACTATTGATTAAAAAGCAGTGTCAAAGAAATTGTCATTTCTGCCACATCCTCAGATTACAAGATGATGATACCCCTTTGTCTGAAAGACTGCGATATAAAAGGAAGAAATCTCATAATTATGGTGAAAGGAAATCTGAGAAGATAAGAAATGATACAAAATTTACTGGTTCTGAAAATTTACCTTCTTTGATTTTACAATTAGAAACTCCGGTCCAATTTTTTAAGTTTCTCTTTCCTGACAGTCTTATAGAGCATATCACAGACCAATCAAAGTTATCAATCACATTTATACTCAGATTAACAACGTCCATATAAACCAGCTAATATAAAAAAATATAAAATAGAACAATTTATAGGAATTACTATTTACATGTCGATAATTCAACTTCCATTAACAAGACACTATTGGAATGCCAATATTGGCCACCGAACAGTTAGCGATGTGATGAGCTGTAACAGATTCGAATAAACAAAAAGTTTCTTGCATTTCAATATCAATGATGACATGATTGAAAATGATCACTCTGGATATGACAGATTATTCAAATTAGGTTCCGAAATCCAAAATCATGGTTCCGAAAAAAGAATTTCTAACTGTAGACAAACAGATTATACCAACAAAAGCGCGAAGCCAGCTAAAGCAGTAGGTATAACCCAAAAAACCACCAATAAGTGGGGCTTCAAAAACTTGTGCTGAGTGATATTCGGGATTCAGCTATGACTTTAATTTGTTTGCTGGTTCTCGAAGTAATCTTGTACCTCTAGGAGCACCAAATCTTAGTATGAGCGGCAATGTGGTTGTCAAATTAGCAGATTCGATACCAAAACATCAACATTACAAGTTGTTTTTTGACAATTGGTTCACCAGCATATGTCTTATGATATATCTGACCAAAGAGGGCATTTTACCTTTGGGAACAGTGTTGGAGTTGTGATGCCAGCTGAGAAAGAAATAAAGAAGCACGACAGAGGTCATATGGTAGAAAAAATATTAAATATAGATTGTGGATGTCAGTCTAGTGTCCTGGTTTGATAATAAAATCGTTACTACAATGTCAACATATGCTAGAAGTGAACCAAATGGAGAAAAAAGAAGATTTGTTTAACAAGAAAGTACCTATACATAAAATGATACCTTGTCCTAACAATGTCCTTACCTACAACTACTACGTAGGAGGTATAGACCTCCTTGATTCCATTTTAAGATTTTATCGTATAAAAATCAGGAATCACGAAGAAATATTATTTACGAATATTCTTTTCTCATTTTCTTGACATGACAGCCGTGAACTGTTGGTTATTAGTCAAAAGAGCGAAGAAATTTGATTTACCCCTTTTGGATACCAAACTAGCACTAGTCGATGCTCTATGCAAAGCCGGAAAACCAATTAAACAGAACAGAGTAGGAAGACCGGCAAGTAGTAGTATTCAGCAAATGTACGAGAGCAAACGAAAAAAGAGACCCACTAAAGAAATAGGTACCCCAAGAAGACATTCGTAGACATACCTACTAGGTCAAGATGCAAATTTCCAGGTTGTACAGGGAAAACATATAGTGTGCACAAAATGCTCAATACCGTTGTGTATTAATAAAGAAAGAAACTGTCTGCAGTTTCATACTGTCTAGTGTATACTGTAGCTTCAAAATTGTTTGACTTTAATATTACATTATTGCATATGATGTTCCAGGAATAAAGAAAGCTGAGCAACTACTTAGAATAGCTCGAGACAGAGACATTTTCGCCATGTTAATCGCTAACGTCAATGGGATTTGGTAGGGCACGTTAAGAAGAAGATGTTCCATATTTGGCACCAAAATTTTTTTGTCGATGAAGTTTTCCTCGTAGCTAATAATTTACCTCGTAAAAATAGAATTAAAATTCTTATCTGAGAATTTATTTTGACAAAAAACAAATATTCATGCGATAAAAGGTTAATAATTATTTTAACTTAATGAGCTTAAATTTGAAAACAGCACCTTCAAAACTTTTCTTAGTAAATTAAATATATATATTTTAAGTGATAGCCTAACTGTGTTCTTAAGGTATTTAAATATTTATTAAATGATAAAAATTTGAATACTTAATTTTTACTTTTTACCGCTCTGCCATCTATGGGAAACTCTCTTAACTCGTAAAACAAAGTTAATTTACTAACAACTTACAGATTACTCTAATACCCGAAGACTATTGGGTGGGTCAAAAGTTTGAAAACATCGGAAAGCAGAGGTCTCTGTGACAAGTTTAACAAACAGTAACACCATTTTATATTTGTTTGATTTGCTTTTAACCTAAAAGTTATTTGGTTTGAAAGCATTGTTTTTGTGTATTGTTTAAAGTTTTTAGTCGCTAGTGGAGATCTCATATAAAACTCTAATTTAAAAATGGCAAACACAAACACAGACTTAACGGAAGAGGATGCGGCAGACCTACAGTTTCCTAAAGGTAAGATCCTTTCATTTTAATATACCGAGCTAGTTGTGGAATTTTTCTATTCAAAATTTCAGACGATGACCTCTCAACATTTAGTAGCTGTAATATTTTTGACAGCAACGATTCAACCTATTGTACAAATTGTTTAAACGAAGTACAAAGTAAGTACATTCTGTGTGAGAAGTGTAAAGTGAATATCTGTCTAAGTTGTTTTTCAAACGGAGCCGAGTTTTCAAACCACAAAAATGATCACGATTATCGTGTGTTATCTACAGACTTTATTCTATTTGAAAATTCGGATTGGACGGCCGAAGAAGAGCTTAAACTTCTTGATGGGATTAGCAACTATGGTAATTGGTACCATTTAACACAAGAACTTCCAAATAGATCGGTGAACGAAATTATAGAGCATTATGATTATTATTATCTTCAAAGAAAAGGCTGTGAGGGTTTTCCAAAGCCAAAAATACCAGATTCTGCATTATTTCCACAGTTAGTAGTGCCTTATAGATTCCAGCTTAATCATTCAGATGAACCTCCTAGATATTTATCTAACACTATTGGTAATAAGTCACTAGCAGGATATAATCCAGCCAGATCTGATTTTGAAATTGAGTATGATAAAAATGCAGAGGATATTCTTTCAAATTTAGAAATAATAGATGAGGATGATCCAATGTATGACATTCTTACAAAATTACAATGTTCTTTGGTTGAAGCCTATAATCGGAGGTTAAGAAATAGGTACCGATGGCATAGTTTAATTAGAGATCATGGACTTTTGCTGATCAGAAAAACTTACTCCTGGCTAAAAAGGTATGAATTTACTATCCACAAAAATGTTTATGAAAAAATGATCAGGTTTATGCAGTTCTGTGAGCCTACATATTTTGAATCGCTGATGGAAGGGCTACACAGATGTGGAGAATTGAAAATTCAAATTGCAAGGTAATTATTTTTCTTATTATTCAATTATTATTGTTATAGTTACATATTTTATTGCTGTTTCCATTTATCATATTTAATTATCTTTATTTAAACTGTTTTTGTTTTCTTTTGAAACCCATTTTTAATCTGTTCAGTATATCTAGAGTTATCTTTTCGATCATCCCCAACATTGTCAAAAGTGCTATATTTGTTGTCTTAGTTTTATAAAAAAAAAACAGTAAGTACTTTTATTAGTATATTATAGAAATATAAAATATTCAACCTACTTTGCAGTCTCCTTAAAATATAAAATATTTTGTAGTAATTCAGTAAGCAAACTGTTCCTTACTCAATTCAACATGTGTTGTAAAAGATATTTAGATTTGTATTAAAATAAATGAATATATTTTTTGGCAGGCCTGATCTGTGAAAGATATAAGAAACATTTTATCCATATATTAAGAACATCTACTAATATAGGAATTTGTAGTATTTTCTTTTTTCATTTTGATCAAATAAACTGTATCTCATTTAACATTTGCTGTTCATATTTTCTCGGGATATGCTTTTCCTTTCTTCTTAGTGCTTCAGGAATTTTTTCATGTGCCAAGTTTTTCCGTTTGTTCTTCATTTTGTTCTCTGTTTAATCTCATATTTTTATGCAGAGCAGGTTAATATCCACTACTTTTTCTGTTATTTTAATTTCTGTTTGCTCCCTATACTATGTCCAGATCTTTTAGTTTGAGAATATTTATTTTTTCTTTCCTTTTTAGATTGAATATTCTGTCGTTAAACTGTGCCTTAACCAAATAGTGATCATTATCAATGTTAGCTCCGCTGGAAAGCCTAACATCTGGAACATTGTCAGGAGATTTCTGAGTTCCTTTATGTATGTTTTCATAGGGAAATGGTTTCCCACCTTTAACATATTCTTAATAATAGCAAAGTTTATGAGTTTCAGTCTGTTGTCATTTGAGTCTGCTTGTAGGCTCTCTTTACTGAAGGAGGAGAAGAGATAATCTCTCCTGCTATTATTTTAACATCATTTTTTAACACTTATAGACTAGGTCCAGTGCCCCATAGTACATGTCTTTTCATTATTTTCTTTTTCATGGGTTACTTAGTGCATGGACATTTATACTTAATGCTAATATTATAAATATCTTTTTTTACTTCTTTAAAAAAAGAATTTTGTTCTAATATAGACAGGTTTTTACTTAACCTAAATTCAACGTTTTACTTTAGAATAAGCAAGTAATCACTAAAATATCCGTTATACACAGGTTTCTGTGTTAAATAGGTTCTGGGCTACCAAGAATTTTGTTTTTTGGGGAATTAGTTTAGCTCTCTTATTAGTACATATACTAATTTCTAGTAGTAAAAATTTGTTACTCTTACATTATTTAAGTAGATTTTAATATGTTTTTGTGATTTATTATAGTAATCCATCTTTTGCAATACATCATCTATAAACCTTGTTTAGTATCTACAGTAAATTTACAGATTTTTAATATTACTGATTGATTAGAAATGATGGAAATTAATTTTTTATAAACAATAAAACACTGAAAACTTTGTTTTCAAAACTTCCATAAAATTTTTATAATTTTTTTTATCATTAAAGCTGTTTTGACATAGTGCCTGTTGAGAATTTGTCTTTATTGTACAGCCACCAATTAACGGATTTGTAGTAAACTCTTTTTATTTTCAAAAAAAGAACTTAAATTATTACAATATATAAAATTAACAATATAAAAAAAACTAATTAATTCCCATTACTTACTGTTCTCTTGCTAACTGCTAAATTATTTGAATTTTTCCCCAATCAGTGACAGTTTGTTTTCTGAAATTTTAATATTATATCTGACATAGTCCATACAACAATAGTAACAGCAAATTTTTGGTAACATGATAAAACTAAAAATTTAATAACTAAAATAAATTGTATACAAATAATAAATATTCGTAACACTTCCACCCGGTACAGTTCCATGTGAAAAAGAGACTGTACCAATTATTTTTCATCATCTTTGTGGTCTCTATTTATTGGTAAGTTCATAACAGGACGTTCATATATTCCATTTTTTGTTTAAACTATTAGTCATCTTGCCCATCAGGTGATTTTTTAACTTCACTTACAGCCAATTGCATCTTGGTAAATCTTTATCACATATAATTACAATATCGCCCTAAGTAGTAGTTCAGCTATGTATTCAGAAATAAAGGGTCGCCAACATTTATTTGCAAATTGCTCTCTGTATAAATAATTAAATTTAAATCCTTTAACATATTCATTTAAAAATCCAATTGGTTTATCTCTGTTTAAAGATCCAGTTAAAAAATGATTTGGGTTAGAGATTCAGATTCTCAGATTCTATTGGAATATAAGTAAATGGTCTTCAGTTTACTATGTTTACTGCAGCTATGAGACAACTATAAAGTAATTGGTCAGTAGAGTTCCTGGTTGGTAATGAATCATATAACGAAATTTTAACCACTTTTACTAAACAGTCCCAGGCCCCACCCATATGTGGGGAAAGGGGTGTGTTAAAAGGAAATTTTAGCTCTGGGCTAATCAGTGAATTAACTATATATTTACTGTCAACTTTTTGCAGCTCATCTCTCAATACTCGTTCAACTCCAATGAAATTCTTACCTCGATCACAATAAATATCCCTTGGTCGTCCTCTTCTGTTAATAAAATTTGTGAAGCATAGTATAAAACTGTTCACATCTAGTTTGTAAGCTACTTCGACATGGACTGCTCTAGTCGTGAGACACGTAAATAAAGCTCCCCATCTTTTCTCCATCTGTCTTCCAACAATTACATTTTTTAGACCAAAATAATTAATACCATTGTGTGTAAACAGAGCAGTAAATGTTGCAAGTCTACATGGCGGTAGCAGGTGGTTTTGGCTTAGCAAATTTGACATTGCAATTTTGACAATTGGTCCTAATCTTATTAACTAGTTTTATAAGGTTTGGTATATGAAATGTTTGTCTTATCTCATTTACTACAATTTCATAATTTCTATGGTGATGTCTTTTGTAATAGTCTTTAACAACTAGTAAAGTTATACGACTTTCTCTCGGCAAAATTATTGACCTTTTTGTTTCTGAAGTAACATCTCTAGTTTCATCTAATCTTTCTCTTATATGAAGTTAACCAATAAACTGCTTGCTTTATTAACTATTTTCTGTAAACTACTGTAATTATTAGATTTTAATTGTTTTATTTCATTTTTAAAATAGTCACATTGAGTTTGCTTTAATAAAATATTTTTAGCATCTAAAAGTTCTTCCGAAGTTAATATTCCTTTGGGCTCTTCAGATTTCATCAATTTTGCATAAGCAATTCTTAAAACTCGAAACATATATGCAGTTGCTCTTAAAATTCGATTAAATTTACTGAATCTTTCAAAATCTAATAAAAGTAGAGTATTAAATTTTAATTCATGAGGGTAAGATTTCATCAGATTTTGCCTTTTTAAGGGTTGTATCTGGAGGGCAACTGTTTTCTAATTGATACAGAAAATCAGGACTTTTAAACTAACAGCTCATGTTTTTCAAGTTGGGACGTTTTGTCCATTTAGTAGCTTCATCGGCTATGTTATTCTTAGTAGGTACATATGTCCAATGTGATACCATTGAGTTTTGTTGAATTTCGGCCACCCTGTAAGCTACATATTTTGGTAATATTCTTGGGTATTCATTTCTTAACCAGCTTAAAACTGTTGACGAATCTGTCCAGTAAACATCGTTGTGCACAGTTATGTAAAGATGTTGACAAAGGTTTTTAGCAAACCTTGAACCTATTACCGCACCATTAAGTTCCAATCCAGGAATAGTTTGTGGTTTTAATCAAAGTACACTCTATGACTTTGATTAAACAATTATGACTATCTTTTTTAATTATTCTTAGATATGTCTCACAAGCACTTGCGTGTTCACTGCCATCTACATAAATGTGCATTTGCGTATTGGTATCCTTCCAATTTTCAAGTTTATTATCTTGGCATTGAAACCTTCTCTATTTCTGAAAGCTGTTTTACCCAAACAAGCCATTTTTGAAACTGTTCATTGGTTATTGGTTGATCCCAAGAAATGTTAATCCTCCATATTTACTGTAAACGAATCTTCACAGAAATCAAAAAGTTTGTGAACAAACCTAAAGGGTTATATACAGACAGTAAGATTTGTAAAATTTCTCACTTTGTAGGCTTTCTTAATCCACACAAAACATCTTTCTTTCCATTATTACATTTTAAATTGAAGATAAAATTATCTCCCTTTAAACCCCACCAGATTCCTAGAACCTTCTCCATGCTCTTATTGTTTCTTAGGTTTAGTTTGACTTCCTCGTTATTTTCATGGGTGGTGTTCATGATTTTCATTAATTTTTCAAAGTTTGATCTCCAGTTTCTTATTTCAAAATTTCCGCTGGCGTGCATTAAGGCAATTTCTTTTGCTAATTGGATGGCTCCATTCTCAGTGTCTGTTGGTTCTAAGAGATCATCAACGTAATGATTCTTTACTATGAAATCAACAGCGCTAGGATATTCTACACTAAATTTCTTCGCATTAGCGTTTTTAACAAACTGTGCACAACTAGGTGAGCAGGTAGCTCCGAAGGTCATCACAGTCATAACATATATTTCCAAAGGATTATCAGAACTACCATTGCGCCACAAGAATCGTTGTGCATGTTGATCTTCTTCCATTATACCTACATGAAGAAACATTTCCTTGATATCTCCAGAAAAGCCAATCTTTTTTCACGAAATCGTAGGAGGACGCCTAATAGAGAAGTAATTCATCTCCTTTTAATAACAGAGAATTTAAGGATATTCCCTGTACGGTTGCTGCTACATCCCAAACTAACCTCAATTTGTCAGGTTTGTTAGGATTAAAGGCCGTAGATATTGGAAGATACCATGTTTTTTTTTATGCTCTAAGAGTTCTTGTCTCGTCTTCTAATATATTGCGTTTCTAGAAAATCTTGAATTTGTTGATTAATTTTG